TTAGCAATTGGCTGAAGAAGAAGTAGGACTGAGTGGACTTGTGGGCTCTAAATTTTTACATTGTTTTATTTTTGAGTGCAGGTTTTTTTGTACATAATTCTACATTTGTACGTTCAACTTTCATGATAAAGAGATTGCACTACAGTACTTGTATGAGGTGAACTGAAAAATACTATCTCTTTTGTTTATTTTTACAATGCAAATATTTGTAATCAAAACAATATCAAGTGATCACTGTACACTTTGTATTCTGTGTTATAATTGAAATCGATATATTTGAAAAGAAGAAGTCCAAAGCAACCCCTCATCACAAGACAGACTGGGGCAAGATCCAATGTGGCCACATCCCCATGAACTTTCAAACTCTATTTTTTAAACTTTATTGATATTTTTGTGTTAGGTGTGGTGGCTCGTGCCTGAAATCCCAGCTACTTGGGAAGCCAAGACTGGCAGACTGCTTGAGCTCAGGGGTTCTGGGCTGTGGTGTGCTATGCCGATCAGGCGTCCGGTGCCACTGACAGCTTGGCCAGCGGGTGGCTGAAGGACAGGCTACAACAACACAAATGGCGTGTTGTGACTGGTGCTCTCTCTGTGAGGGCTGATGGCCCAATTGATCAAGATTAGGAGGTGATATTGTTTGTATATAAAATAAACATATAACTAAATGAAATACCATACAAATAACAAAATTCAATGTTCATTATTTGTAAAACCTGAAACAAAACAAACCCTGAACCCATAGTGGTGGTGCAGGGTATCAATTATTAAAGTGACTAAATAGGTAAAATGAGAACATACCCTAGGAGTATCGGGGACTAATATATACTAAATTGCAAAAGTATGCAGTAGGGTCATGTGTGACCAGACATCCTCATTTTTTCCCAAGCGTTTCTATTAGATCAAGTCATTTTTTTCCATTGCTGCAACAGTAGAGAGCTTGTTAAGCCAGTCTATGTCTGAAAGAGGAATGGCAGATTTCCATTTTCTCAAATTAACTCTTTTGGCCACTAAAAATTTACTGCAACTTCTTAATGTTAACTGGTATTACCAATTCATCCCTAAAATACACAGCTTGGAGAAGGAAAGATAGCAACAGTTAAAGTTTGAGAGAGCACTGAATATGGTGTTCCAGAACACATGCATTTTTTTGACAGATATAGAGGTTGTGTGAAAGATTGGCTTGTGACTGTTTGCATCTCAACATTCAATGTGTTGCCAATTTAGCTTTAAGCCAATTTAGCTTTAAGTTTTAAGTCTAGTAGTGACTGTTTAATATCTTGTTCTGGAAGAATCACAAGGATAAAGAACTTGAAGTATCTTTCACATTATGCCAGATATTCTCCCATGTTTCTGTTGTCATGATAAGGCTAAATTCTTTTCCCCATTTTTCTTTGAGACTGAGATTGAGAGGGTAATTGAGAGAGTAATACAGAGTTGGGGTGGGGTCTGGGCAGGCAGTTGGGGTGCAGGGGACAGGCTCTGGGAGGGAGTTGGAGTGCAGGGGGACGGGCTGGGGCACGGGGTTGGGGTGCAGGAGGAGGGGTGGGGGCGGGCTCTGGAAGGGAGTTGGGGTGTGGGATTTGGGCTGGGTCAGGCAGTTGGAGTGCAGAGGACAGGCTCTGGGAGGGAGTTAGGGTGTAGAGGACAGGCTGGGGCAGGAGGAGGGGGACGGGCTCGGGGATGGAGTTGGAGTGCGGGAGACAGGCTGGGGCAGGATTAAAAAAGAACTAGATAAATTCATGGAGGATAGGTCCATTAATGGCTATTAGCCAGGATGAGCAGGAATGGTGTCCCTGGCCTCTGTATGCGAGAAGCTGGGAATGAGCGACAGGGCTTGATCACTTGATGATTACCTGTTCTGTTCAATCCCTCTGGGGCATCTGGCACTGGCCACTGTCAGAAGACAGGATACTGGGCTAGATGGACCTTTGGTCTGACCCAATAGGGCCATTCTTATGTTCTTATCTTTTATTTGACCAACAAAAGTTGGTCAAATAAAAGATATTACCTCACCCACCTTGTCTCTCTGTTTCAAACATATTAGCCTATGTATTTATGAGGCTTTTCAATCAGATTAAGTTAACTCAATTGTATGAATGCAGTTGAAAATTTTCAAAGCTGAAAATATGAGGAATGACTTAATTACATACGATGCACTGTCATTGTTAGTGATCACATGGAAGCCAGTAGGATATTATAGTACAGTTAAACACTCATTTAAACTTGTTACAATACACTACTGCTATCTTGGGTTGCCCCCTCTTAATTTCTAAAGTGGGGTTCCAGACACAGTTTATTTTGTCTTCACAGCAATAATATTTCCACTTTCACATAGATATACAGTGTTAGCCTGCAAGGAGTAGGAGCTGAAAACTTCCCTGGGAATGTTTGACTGTCATACACGCCGTATATGAGCAAAACAATGTTTCCGACCAATAACATTCACCCCCATTTTCAAATTATTAAACCATTCCACATAATTTATGCATTTGATTAAAATTTGCATTGCATCTGACTTTCCAAATAATCTTGCTAACTTGTGCTTATGAAGAAATTTACAAAAACAATACTCCTTAGTCACTAACATACTGGAGCTACTTACGTCAGTTTACCCTTAGAATAGTTCCAACTGTTTAATACACTTGAACTGTGGCTCCCAAACTTAGTTTTGGAGCCCCACTGTAATAGTGGCCAATACCATTCAGGACGCAAAAACTCATGATACTTATATTTCCCAACCTCCCTATCTAAGAAGGTAGCATCTGACTTTATGATGAGAAACTAAGACCCAGAGGTATTCCCTGAGGAGACAGCACACTTGCAACTAATTTTCAAAAGTAACTATATGAAGTGGACAGTCTCTTAGGAAATTTGCTGCTGTTGCTAAGAGAAAAAACTACTCCTAATTACTGAAGGACTGTTATGAATCCATGCACTTTTGTTTAATTGAGTTGTGAGCCTTGTTTAAATAAAGATTTGGAGGAACTGAAAGCTTCAGTGATGGAGCTTCACTTTTTGTTGGCCCTGTAGAATAAATAACCAACCCTTTTTCCCAAAACAAAACAAAACAACAACAACAAAACAACAAAAAAACATTTTAACAACTGTAAGTAAAAGGAGCTCTTGTTGATTGTGAGAAGGACTTTGGAACTGGACTTGCTCACACACCCCTTGAGACAGACTGACCGGCACACTCTTAACCCCATCTTCCCCACCACTATCACCAAGATATCCCCCTGCAGTTATCACCTTCTCTCCATTTTTCTATTTTCTGTCTCTTACTCCTGGCTTTTATTAGCCGTTGTATCTATTTTGTGTCTCTTTTCCTATGTGATTTTTTTGGCCTTCTATTTTCTGTCACACTTCCCCCCCCCCCCTTCGTTATTTTGTTCTTTCTTCTCCTTCTTTCCTCCCCTCCCCTTTTCCCCCAACACCCTCAGAGAGACCATGATGTACACACACACTACCTTAACCAGAAAACTATATACTGCTTAGGGTGGGAAGTCTGAGTCCATTGTTTGCTCCAGGAGTGGAAAAAACAACTGCTGCTGTTTTGTTTGTTTGTTTGTTTTAACAAACAAACTGAGTATCAAGGGAGCAAAGAAGATTAACTTGGGCTGCTGAAGTGTTTGATCTTGCAGCCAAATAAATCTGAACAGATCCCATGACTGATTTCAACAGGGAGTCATCCCAGAAGAAGAGAGTGTTAGAAGAATTTGCCTGATGCATTAGCCACATCTGCAGGAGCACATCTAGGGAGGGGGACAAGACAGATCCAGATTATGCAGCTTTCCTTATCCCCCCTAGAGTTCCCCTTTGCCCTGCCCTGCTTCCATTTCCCCAACACACAAAATGATACTATTTCTATTATAAACTAACATATAATACTGAATATTAAAGCAGAATTTAAAAGCCTTGGAACTCACTTCCAATGCAGCATGATCCAAATGTTATTTCAGTCTATATATAAAACCAAGGTAAGTTCATAACTAAATCTCTTCATGAGAAGGGACAAGCATTTTTCACTAAATGAGATTGAGGAGCAGTTTATACTCAAATTGAAAAATCCTATTTGGCAAAGGTAAATCAGTAACTCCTTTGGGTTTGATGTAAGCCTTTAAATATTACAGTTAAACAACAGATTACATAGAACCTATACCAACTTGAAGCACAGTCTTGATCAACTGAATTATCTTGCAGTTAGTTAATCTTTAGTAAATCCACCAGTTAAAAATGGGAAAGAAATTCAGATTGAAAAGGACACTTCAAATCATTTAAAAGCCAATTGTAGAATCATTTTTAGTTTCTAAACTTGCTGTCTGATAAAATCCTTTTAAGTGAAGCCCTTGTAGAAACCTGTTGTAACCTATTCTTGCTTACCTTATTGCGCTGGCTAATGCCTTCGCTGCAGTAGTTTGGTTCAGAAATTGCTCAGTCACATCCAATTTATTCACTGAACATATGGCAGAGAGCCAGACCATAAAAGAAAAAAAGTTGGATGTGGATGCAGTCCTTTCACAGGATGAAATCATGAGTGCTTGCTGCAGTCCTACACCCACACAGCCACAAAAATCCAACTAAATAGCCGTTGTGCAAGAGGAATCTATGGGGTTTGGACATGATCGAAACAGGCAACCTTTTCTACATTCCAATTATTCTAGATCTACCCAAATGGCGGAAAGAAATGCCCAGTGTTTTGCTAATGCCAGACACTTTTCTCAAAGGGCCAGCTGCTAGAAATAAGACTTTCTTCCAGTAAGTACGAAAAGAAAAACACATGCGAAAACAAGATCAATATTAGTAATGCAATTTGAGTAGCCTGTTAAACTTCGCAAAGATTATGCAACAGTTTTAGGACCCGATTCACAGCCTTTTAGTTGGTGAAAGAGTAATATAACAGGAGCATGGCCAACAGACCATCCACTTTATGAAAAAAAGGGGGAAAATAAGTGCCAAAAATCAAAACCTTAAGCACAAAAATACAGCATCTAAATATGGACAATTTGATTCTGATGTCTTGCCAGCTTTATGTTGGTGGAAGAGCTGGTCTACAAATGGTTAGGGTTGCCAACCCTCCTGGTTTCGCCGGGAATCTCCCGGAATCAGGCCCCATCTCCTGGAGGCTACTGAAGCCAAACTGGGAGATTTTAGGCTCCCTACCTGCCCTGGCCCTGCATTGCTCCTGGAAGCGGCCGGCAAGTCCCTGCAGCTCCGGGGGTGGGACAGGGAGTCTCCATCCGCGCCCTGAGTGCCGACTCCGCAGCTCCCATTGGCTGGGAACTGCAGCCAATGGAAGCTGCGGGGGCAGCACTTGTGGGTGCGGGCAGCATGCGGAGCCCTCCCACAAGGGGCCACAGAGACGTGCCGGCTGCTTCCAAGAGCAGTGCAGGGCCAGGGCAGGCAGGGGGCCTGCCTTAGCCCCGCTGTGCTGCCGCCCAAAGTAAGTGCATCCTGGCCAGATCCCACACCCTTCACCCCCTCCTGCCCCCCAACCTGCTGTCCCAGCCCTGAGCCCCCTCCCAGAGCCAGCACCCCAAACTCCCTCACACATCCCCTGCCCCAGCCCTGAGGCCCCTCCAGCACCCAAACTCCCTCCCAGAGCCTGCACCCTTCATCCCCTCCCACACCCCAATCCCTTGCCCCCCCAGCCCTGAGCCCCCTCCAACACCCAAACTCCCTCCCAGACCTTACACTCCACACTCCCTCCTGCACTGCAATCTCCTGCCCCAGGCTCAGCCTGGAGCCCCTTCCCATACTCCAAACCCCTCGGCCCCAGCCCAGAACCCGCACCCCCTACCACACCCGAACCTCCTGCCCCAGCCCGGTGAAAGTGAATGAGGATGGGGGAGAGTGAGCAACGGAGGGAGGGGGGATGGAGTGAGTGGGGCAGGGCCTCAGAGGAGAGGCAGGGTGGGGGCAGGAAGTACGGCAAGGGTGTTTGGGTTTGTGTGATTAGACAGCTGGCAACCCTACAAATGGTAGAAATCTGGAACAGTGATCTCATAAAATTTCTACCAGCTTGGATTCCAGCTCACTCGGTCCTGGAAAACAGGCCTCTTTAGATTTTGGCTCTCACTTAGAACCAAAATGCTAAGTGTGGGTTTGGCTCTGAGTTTTGGGTCTAATCCCAATGGATTTTAAGGAGTGCAGATTAAATATTGCCTAACTCCTAATTCAATGCAGAAATACAAATTAGGCTGTGACAATGAAGTGTTGATATCAAAAGTTCCTCTGAGACATTTCTTCAATGTAATGTTTTTTTCAAAGTGGTGAAGATAATAACTACATTTGGCTTTAGGGACTGTTTTACAGCAGTTTCCTGAAACAGACAAAGTCTGACACAGCAAATCTATCAATGCATTTTTTTTCTTGGAACGTGCAGTTCTGAGGAGCAGTTTTTTCTAAGAACTAATATCCATTGTTATCATGCTTCTTTTCTTGTTCACATAGGATACTACAGTTGTACTATATAGGCAATAGCATACTCATTTTTAGTCCTATCTGCTGCTTACAATACTTCCAAACTGTCATTAACTAGTTTGATTTCTTGCTGAGCAATAAAGCTCTTCTTTTCTTGCATTGTATGCCATTCAAAACTGTAGTCTGTCCTCACTTTAAAGCATTTGGGCACGTCTCTAAGGTGCCACAAGTACTCCTGTTCTTTTTACTTATGGCTTCATTTACACCTATTTAACCTCCTCAACTTCTGAGGTGTTGGCTGGGTACAACTGAGGGCAGAATCTGGCCTTGTACAACTAATAAGTTTTGAAAAGATTACGGATGACTGTATTGATTTGGCCTGCACAACGTGATCATGTCTATACTGTACTAGAATCTTCCAATTCCAAGAATACTTCCTTCTTAAAAATACACAGGAAAAAAATGTGAAAGATAATGCCCAGGACCTTTCTAATGCTGCCCAGATGCTTGTGTATTTCTCTGAGTTCTAAATGCTATACTGAATGTTATTTCAATTGTTTCCTACTTATTGTGAGCCAGATTGTGCTTGATCCATACATAGACCACAGACATGAAGGGGAAGAATCCTGAACAAGGGAGTTCTTGTATTAATTTTGATGGAGTGTTAAAGGTGTTAGCCTATTGTTTAACATTAAGCTGTTTTAAACAAGATTTGGGGTTTAGTATACAGCAGTGGTTCCCAAACTTTAACAACCCGCGAACCCCTTTCACGAAAATATCAAATCTCGTGAACCCCCTCCTAAAAATGAATATTTCCAGGGATTTTCTCTCTTACCTGAGCATAAATGATAGAAGCAGTGATCTTGGAAATCATTTGGTTTTTTTATGACATGTTTATTGCACGCTATTTATTATTACATTATTATTTATCATTGCAGTATTAAATTTATTACATTATGAAAACGGAAACACTCTTCCAAAGTATGTATTTAAGAAGCCAACTCAAATAAAGAGTTCCTCCCACAAGCATTCGGGTCATGAGCAGTCCAGGCAAACCAAACATGACTATAACACAGCTTAAACTTGTTTTTCATAATAATTTTAAAAACAACACTAGCAATCTATTTAATTTTAGAAACAGCAAAAAATATCCACCTCCCTTTCCATTTTTCATAAGGAGTCTTGAAGTTTAAATCTCCTCAGTGTGATGGATGCACTTGCTTTGATTTGCATAGCTCTTGGAAGTCTGGAACCACTGAAGAAAGAGTCTCAGGTCTGGTTCAGCACTGAGTCTGTTTCTGTATTTGGTACTGGTACGAGTAAAATGCTTTCTCGCATAAGTATGTTGTTGAAAACGGTAACAAAATGATAGTAGCTTTTTCTGCCAGCATGGGATACTCGTTTCTTAAACTCAGCCAAAAGTTGATCAGTGACAGACTTCTGAAACTCCTTTTCAGTTCATAATCACCAGAGATCTCAATCAATTTCTCTTTTTCCTCAGTGCTCAATAACTGAGTTGAGAAAGTGGTATCATCAAAGGGGTTTTGAATCCAGTCAGTATCGCTTGACAGAGCTGGAAAGTATTCCCTGAACGTTGTGCAGTTATATTGGTTTTAGTGCATTGATCCAACCAAAGTTTATGTTCTGCCAGGAAGTCATGAAGAGTAATGAAACACTCAGTTTGATTGTTTTCCAAACACTTTTCCCAGAACTGAGACTTCTTTATCATGGATTTCAACACGCTGAAAACTGTTATATTGAGGCCTTGGAGATAAATTTAGGTCATTAATCTTCGAGAAAATGTCTGCTAAATGAGCTAGGCTCTGGAGCAAGACATGATTTTCCATACAGATGGCAAGGTGGACAGGGTGGCTGTTGAAAAAAACAAGGATTTCTGTTTTAAGCTCAAACAAGCGCATAAGGATTTTGCCACGTGAGAGACATCTAACTTCGGTATGTGTAAGGGGACTGTTGCCCCCTTACTAACATTCAGTGGGGTGTTTTGGTTGGCTAGCTCTCAGCATTAAAAGGGGAAGGGTCGATGGCAAATCAGGAGCCTGAGACTGACAGTCCCCAGGAACAATGGGGAGAGGCCAATGCTCCAGATCAGCCTGACTGACAGGGCGGGCAGGCTAATCAGCATGACAGGAGGCCAGGGGGTCCCGTCCTCCCTGTGAACTGGAATGGCCTGGGTCAGACTGAGTGGGGCCGAGCTAAGGAGAGAGCAGGGGCCTGAGCTAAGCTGCTGGGAGCAGGGCTGCAGCCCCAAAGCCAGAGCACAGCCCAGAGAGAGCCGACCTGCCCTGGGAGGAGAGCTGCAGCAACCGGAGCCAGAGGGGCCAGACAAGCAGCCAGGAAGCAGGTCAGAGCTGGGAGCAGAGTCACAGAAGCAGCCTGCAGAGCAGACCTGTCCAGGGGGCAGAGCTGCAGCAACCAGAGCCAGAGAGGCCAGAGAAGCAGCCCAGGGAGCTGGAGGCAGAGCAGCAGCAGCAGCCGTGCTAAGGCCGAGTGGAGCCGGAACTGGGGCTGGAGCTGGGGCTGGAGCACTCCGGAGCCGGGTGCGGTGAGCAGCTGGGGAGAGTGAGGGGGACCCTGAGCAGTGGGCCCAGCACAGGGAGACACCTCAGCCAAGAGGCTCTGCAGGCCAGACTTGGAGGGGATCATAACCCCGATCAGGCAGGGACGATGCTGGGAAGAAGGGTCCTGCCACCTAGAGTCTGAGAGCGTGTGGCCACCGCCAGAGCATGTGTCCGACCCGCAGCGTCTCTGCAGCACAGCCAGGGCCTGAGAAGGAGCCTGGGACCTACAAGGAACAGACTGAACTGCCCTGATGTTCCAGAGACACTATTTGTGATGTTCCCTGCCACAGAGCAGGGTGACGTGTTTTCCTTTAACCTTTCCCATTTTTCCTTATTCTTTTTTAAAATTAATTGTTAATTAAACAACTTGTATTTGCTTTAAATTGTATGAAATGATCCGTGGGTCAGGGAGGTGCCCAGTGCAAAGAGAGTACCCCGGAGTGGGGACACCCTAGCCCCTGTCCTGGGTGAACACAGCAGGGTTGAGGGTCGAGCCCCCCAGGAATCCTGGGCCCAGCCTGGTCGGGGTTTACGAGGACTCTGCCAGACAGGAGAGTGGAAGGGGAGTCCTCAAGGGCAGGGAGGCCTCTGGGTAAAGGAAGTGGGAGTGAGGACTCAGATCCTTTCGCCAGCCCACTTCACCGGGGTAGTGCAGAAGCCAGGAAAGTTCCCCACAATAGCGGGACCATTCCCCCGCTTACATATGGGACAATAGACAATTGTTTACACTACCCATTTCTTCACAAAGTACAT